TTTCCCCGGGTCTAGTAAATACAACCCACATAGCTCTGCAGGTACAGCAAAGCACCCGACCTTCCCTACTGCAGGCTGGTCGCTCCAGTGCTAATTGTGGGAGCAATTATTAATCATCATGTTTCTGCAGTCCAGAGCCCTTTGTCTTTGACTGCACAACTGGAGAAAGTAGAGCATTTATTTTAAAAAAAACAAAACAAACAAACAAAAAAACCAAAACAGTGACCTTCTCCAGGGGAGAACTTGTTTAACTGCATAAATCAGCATTTTAACCTAAATTTCCATTATAACAAATGACAGGAAAATGCACAACTTCATGTAACATGCTTTGTTTCTGGCATATGGGAAGAGCAAGCCGTGAATTTAGCCTCCTTCGTCAGACAGCAAATCTTGGCTACTTAAGTTTATATTGTATTAATTAATTTGTCCAGGTCCTGGAACTAAAACAAGGAAGTTCATGAAGCACATATAAAACAAAGCACTTATCTCTTGCTTTCAGCCTTTGGGCATGATACTCGTGAATCTTCTGTTGTGTGCAGCAAAATGTAAAACTACAGAAATAACTGCTTTAGAGGATGCTAATCTAAGGGACAACGTATTTTGCATGCTCATTTTGGAGAGAGCGTTAGAACAAAGGCCACGGCTGGGATCAGTTTGTTCCTTCAGAAATCAGCGGCTGACCCACTTTGCCCTGCTGAATTCAAAAAAGGCGTGAGCTTTGTTTTAAATCCTTTATTGAATTTGCTTTGCCCTTATTTTTAGCCTCATCTGCTATCACATGTAGAAACAAGCTCCCGTGCATGGAAAAATCCAACAAATAAATAAATAAATAAATAAATACCGGCTGAAATGTCAGTGGGTGGTAAACTCGACAGTATTTCAAAGCATTTGGCCAGAGCACCAGTAAAGCCAGGGAATACACGCAGTGGTGGCGTTGCTGGAGGTGGGTCTGGCCAGGGAAGGAGGAAGGCAGCCTGTCCCCTGTGCTGCAGCAACGCATCGAAAGCCTGTTCCATGTGCTAGTGCCGGCTGTTCACAAGGCTTGGAGGAGCTCCTATCAACAGCGCAGCCCACGGGGGAGAGCGGTCGGAGGCTGCCTGCAAAGCTCAGGCGTGGACAGGGATCCTCCACCTGCCCGCAAGACGGGGGCTGG